TGGGGGGGGGGTGTCCAGTCATGGCTCCTGAACTCTGGGCCTCGGCGCTGTCCCTCCGCTCTTCAGCTCAAGGCTAGCGCTCTACCTCTTGAGCCACTGCGCCACTTCCGGCTTTTTTTCTGCTTATGTGGTGCTGAGGAATCCAACCCAAGGCCTCATGCATTCAAGGCAAGCGCTCTCCCACTGAGCCACCTTCCTAGCCCTAAATAGCTCTTTTTATATGTCTTGTGTGGTTTCACTACCATCTAGTGGTATTATTCAAACAGTACATGCTTTTACACCAGGATTCTTTTTTTAACTTTTTATTAATTTTTAATTTTACTTTATTGCAAAGATGCTGTACAAACGGTTACATTTACATGAGTAAGGTAATGAGTACATTTCTTGTCAAGCATTGTTACTCCCTCCTTTGTTGTTCTCCCACTATCCCTTTTCTCCCTTCCCTCCCTCATACCTTCCCCCTCTCCAAAGTTGTAAAGTTCATTTCCAATATAGAGTCTTGTGGGTATTATCGTTGCAATGAGTCATCCTGTGTCCTTGTTTCAGCGTTTTGTTATTTCCTTTCTCCTCCCCAAATTAGACAAATGTGCATACAATATTCAGGGTACCAAAATCAGTACATTGAAAACATTGGTTACACCACAGGGGGAAAGAACATACAAAAGAAACAAAAAAAATCACACAATACATTAAAAACAACAACAAAGAAAGTCCTCTGTGTCCATATCTGAGGATTCAGGTTTCCCTCATGTGCAATAATTAATATACATCTAGGATAATTTTATCTGAAAAGCAGAAAATCTCAAAAACTATGTACATATGACCATCTAAGATGATGCTAAGCTAAATGAACCCCAGGATTCTTTTTTCAGGAAGAGTTATAAATTATATTTTCATGTATCCTTTTTAATTTTTCTATGGATTAAATTCAGATAAGATGGTAGATTTGTGTGTGTGTGTGTGTATCTGTCTGTATCTGAGTGTATATATGTGGATGTGTGTTTGTGCGTGTGTCAGTGGTTTGCCAGTGATAACTTGAAGAATAAGAGCTAGTAAGTCCACACAGGTGAAGATAGAGAAACAAGAGGCCTAAGCTGCACAGAGATCCCCAAATCTGTCCATGCCAAACGTGGTATTTTACTAAATATGAATCACTGACTGCATGTGGAGGGCTGAAGTGGTGAAGAAAAGTTGATCTCTACTTGTTGTATGACATGGTACAGGTGTGGAGAACCAATGACTCACCTTGTGCTTATGTGGCTTGAGTACTGATGGCTTGCAAGTTAGCTAATGTTGGCTTTCTGGACTCTGTCTGCTGGGAAAGTATTCTAATTGGAAGGAAAGGAGCCTGTTGCTCTCCCTGTGGATTTGTCACTGTTCTTAGTCACAGTTGTCAAGTGTACTCAGCACAAGATGATTTATCTTAGGATATGGATTTGTTTACAAACTATTGAGAAGTCTTAAGGCAGAAGTTCTGGAAACCTTTTCAAGAATGGAGTAGAAGTTGGAGCCAGTAGGATGAACTTTGGTACTGGGATTCTCTATTCAGTGATGTCTTGCAGAGAAGGGCTGTCCCTTTCCTCCTGCTCTGAGATTATAGCACCCAGACATGAGTGCTCAGAATCCACCTCCTGGCCTGCAGCTCTCTTGTGCTGTTTACATCCACATCTCACACTCGTGAGGATAAATCCAATTCATGAGTTTTTGGACTGATTCATGTTTAATGACTTTGCTTCACTAATACATACATTCCCACATTGAAACTCTGACTTAAAAGTAGCTACCTCAACATATTATTACCACAACAAATAATAGCTATTTCTCCCAATTGAGTGCTGGGGACCCCCAAATGCTTCTGGTGCCTAATTCATCTTCCATCATTGGTTAGAAAGTAAGCTAGGGCCAAAGTTATGAAGCTGTATTACTTAGATTTCCCTTGTTGTGGCTAAGACCTCAGTAAAAGCAATATAAAGGGCAGAGTACTTGATTGCAACTCTTAGATCATAAAGTCTAGTCTACCATGTGGGCAGAGTTTGGTGAAGCTCACAACATGGCACCCAAGAAACAGAGGAAATCTTATACTTGGTGGCTACATCTTCCTTCCCCTTTGGTTTGATGAGAACTCAGTCCTTTGGAAGGGGCTGTGTATAATAGGGTGGGGCTTCTCTCTTAGTCAATTCTCTCTAGAGAATCTCTCACAGCCAGGTCCAGAAGTATATCCAACCTAGAGGCCATCATTAAAGATCATCAGAATTTTTTCTGTTTCCTTAAACCTTTCAAAGAATATAGTGAGTATAGAAAGAAGATTACTGAGCCATATATACATGGATTCCTCAAAAGTCTACATGCTGGGTGTTCTTACATATCTTTCTTTAAGACAGTCTCTGGAAAGGATAAACTATGTTTCATTGGATCCCTGATAATTTCTCGGTGTGTACATTGTAGCTTCATGTTTATACAGCTACATTTGGACATTTATATGTACATATGTACACATCTATATGTACATATAGATGTATATATGCACTCAATAAATATATAAATCTAGGCACATGTTTTATAGATGACCCATATAAACACATACCAATATATGTATAAGTATGCCTATTTGTTAACTGTGAATGAATCACATTTGTTAAATCTGTACTACCTATTCAAATATCATTTTTATTTCTCTACTTATACATTGCTATATATTATTGTATATTACATTATATGGTATAAATAATCTGGATAAAGTAAATGCTAACTGCTCCTTACATGTTTCCATATGTGAATTACAATATATTCTACATATTCTTATATGTTGCAGACTTTTTATTTTTCCTTTTCCCCATTGTTTTTTAAATATCCATAGTTATGCAATTGGTTTTTAACAAAAATAGTATGCAATGAACCACTGGTAAACCACTGCTAACAGTTATATATATCATCTTTTAATTGGTGATGATCCTGCTGGAGCTCCTTTAACTGTTGTCCTGCAGATCAATCAGTTTGCCTCTAAATTGGATTTTGTTTGATCTTCCTCAGTGACTAAAGAGGCAGAGTATTATAGAGATCATGACCAACATCTAGAAGTCAATGTACATAGAGAAATTCCGGTCATAAAATATCCAACAAGGAAACACATTTTTGAAGTGTTTGTATTCTGAACATTCAACACTGCTTTGAGGTAGCTAAGCAAGTCCTCTAAAATGAGCACTACTCCTAAACTTTTGCATTTTAGTTTTGTTTAGAAGATACAGACAAGGCCATGTTCCACCTATCTGTACTGCCTTGGTAACCATGACTATAGGAGATTACCCCAATGCCTAGATTTCTCTTGAGATAGCTCCTTGATAACAATTGGCCAGTAAAACCTCAACTTGAATCTACTTCTCCCATTTCTGGGGATTGTAGGCAATATTTTGAATAATATTTAATCTTGATATATCCTCAAATTTCTAAATATCATTATTATTCTCAGGCCTGAGATCATATAATTGATAAATATTTGTCTGTGTTTAAATAATTTTGCCATTTAAAGATCTCCTTAGCAGAAATAGACTTCTCCTAAAGCCTAGTCTCTAAAACCTTTTATGGATCCTTGTTAACTTCTTAAAAATACAGATTGAGATGCAGTAGGTATGAGTGTGTTCATAAATTTGTGTGTGTTGTTGGGGTGAGCCAAAACTGACTACATTTTTAATAGACTGGGAGTTCCCCCCCCCACACCCCTTCCAATCAAAATACTGGTGATAACAAATAAAATCCATGATGCCTGTAGCATGGACAGAAGGACTCCACTGATAATATCTGGAACTGATTCTCAAAATAGTTGACCAGTAAAAGCACAGAGTTAAGCTAGATGAAGAGGCATGCCATAGTTACCAAGTTATCTCTTAGGGATGCTAGCTACAAAGGTTAGCACCTCTATTTTCCAGGATATTCATATTAACATGTAGGGTATAGAATTGACAAGCATAACAAAATTTTCTCTTACAGGCAGTAAGTACCCTAATGATCTTTTAACCTAATGGTAGAAATGATTGCAATTGAAAGTATGAATTCAATGTAATTTTTAATAAGTTTTTAATTGTGAAAATACTGTACAGAGGGGTTACAATCACATGAGCAAGGTAATGAGTACATTTCTTATCAAGCATTGTTGCCTCTTCCTTTGTTTTTCCCCTACCATCCCTTCCTTCCCATCTCCACAACTACACTCCCCCTCACCCACCCCACCCACCCCGCCAAATTGTAAAGTTTCTTTTTTAACATAGCATCCTGTACATCTCATTGATGCAATGGGTCCACCTGTATCCCTACTTAAACAATTTGTTTTTCCCTTCCCCTCCGCAAATTATGCCAACATCAAATATAGTGAAAACAAGGGTTATACCGTGGGGGAAGGACATACAAAGAAACAAAAAAAATCACCAGGTACATTATAAATACATTAGAAACAATAGCAAGAAAGAAAAAAAACACTTTTGTACTTTTATCTTGGGGTTCTTTTCACTTAACATCATCTTATCTGAACTTTTCTGCTTGTCTCAGATATATACTAGTTATTGCAAATAAGGGAAACCATGGGAACTATATTTCTTTGTGCCTGGCTTATTATACTTTATAATATTTTAATATAATATTTTAATTTTATTTTATATAATTATATATTATATTATATATTTTATTTTATTTTATATTTTAATATACTATTTTTCTGAGTCTTTCCATTTCCTAACAAATAGGGCAATGTCATTCTTTCTGATGGAAGCATAGAATTACAGTGTAACAGTTTTTTTTTTTTGGGGGGGGGTCCAGTCTTGAGGCCTGAACTCTGCGCCTGGGCGCTGTCCCTCAGCTCTTCAGCTCAAGGCTAGCGCTCTAACACTTGAGCCACAGCACCACTTCCGGCTTTTTTCTTTTTGCTTATGTGGTGCTGAGGAATCAAACCCAAGGCCTCATGCATGCAAGGTAAGCGCTCTACCACTGAGCCAGCTTCCCAGCCCCTACATTGTAACAGTTTCTTAAATTCACTAAATATCCTATCATTCTTCCACAATGTATTTTTCAGCAAATTAATCAAAGGATTTCTTAAAGTTTCCTCTGGAGAGTAACGGAAGAGTGAGAGGATCAAAATATAGTGTTCTTATCAATTGACATACTTAGTTGAGAACACTTTGTGTAACTACTTAAAATGATATATATGTATATATATAATTTTGATTATCTTAAATTAATATAAAATCTCCAAATGTCTCCAGTCTCTGTTTATTTGTCTCAGAGATTTCTGTCTCTACTTTGCCTGAAGGAAGGAAGAGGACATGCAGGATGTTTGTACTGATACCCCAATGGATGAATCTGGCCAATGGAAGAGGTGACTTGTGAGAAGTGATTATATTATGGGATTGGAGGTTATACCACTGCTCATTAGAGGGTTAAAGATACTCTCATGCAGTGAGGCAGTTCTCATAATAGTCACCTGCTATCCAATGAAGACAACCATATGCTTGGCCACCACAAATTACAACTGGTTCTCTCTTTATCAACACAACATATTGTACCAAATGCAAGACAGGCCTCACCAGAGTACAGACAGATGAAGATTCAGCATCGGGGACTTTCTGCATCTAAAACTGTATGCTAAACAAACTTCTTTACTCAGGGTTTAGGCCAGTTTCTTTGTTATAGGGAAGGACTGACTCACGTGTGTCATGTTTATGTGTGTGTGCGCACAGGTGTGTGTGAGAGACAGAGAAATCTGTTTAAATAGAAGTGCTCTTAATAGGTTAATTGAGGAGTAAAAAGCAGCTCTCTACCTGTGATACTCTTCTTCTTCTAAATACAACTTCTCAAACCTTATAAGATTACTTGTTAACTTGCTGAAAGGCAGATTCACACTCAGATGTGAAGTGGTTTTGTAATATTTTATTTGTAACATGCTCTCAGGGATGCTATTGATGATCCTGAATTCTGGACACTTTCTGAGTAGGAAAGAAAATACTACTACATACATGTTTAGTTGTGTTTGCTTCCTTTTTGTCAAGAAATATTTCTATTTGAGAATGGTCACTTACATATTTCATGATAATATCTCATTTTCTATGAACTGAGACTTACTGAAACTCTTACTATGGAAGAGACATGTGTGTACCTGGTCTTGGACAAGGCCCTCCTGGATATATTCTGAGAGTGGGGTTGTGACTTCACTGGGTCATCAGCTGTGGGCTCCCATCAGCGTAGTCTCTACAGGAAATATATTTCCCAGCACTCCTCTCCCTCTCTGCTTTCCTGTTTATATTCTGATTTAGATGGGATATCTTCCAATCACATATAAGTTTGGAAGGTGGAAGGGACTCAATCCTATCGATCCACAATATGCAAGGAACTTGGACAAAAGTGAGAGTGTGGACAAAAGAGAACTCCATACAAATGTTTTGTCCTAAATTCTGTTTTGTTTTTTCAGGTAAGGGGTATGTTTATTCATCGATCTGGATGGCACCAGGCCATGTTGGCTCTCCATCAGTAGTAGTACAAAATGATGTCCATAAAGATTCAAGGTTATGAAGACAATTCATCTTTACCTATCACCCTTTCATCATTCTGAACCATCCCTCCCAATCCAACTCCTCCCTTCCATATACATTTCCATGTGTAAGAATGCATGTTAATTGCTAAATGTGAACTTATCACTCTCACTATGTCTGTAGGATATGGGGAAGTCACTTCTGATTACTGTGATAAATATAGATATAATATGGGTCACTCTGGAACTGTACCCAGTACATGACTCCACAAGTGTCTTAAAAGTATTTTATTTATTCACATATATTTATTTCCATTCTTCAGTTTGCATTTATTTTAACTAGGCCAGAAGCCAAGGGTGCTTTTGTTATCTGCTCTCTGAATAACACCTCTAAGATCAAGCTCCAGAAAAAAAAAAAAAAAAAAAAAAAAACATGTTCAAACCTTCCAAAACCTGATACAAAATATTAGTTAATTTTTTCTTTATATTTCCTGAAGTTATTTAAAAACATATTTTTCAACTCTACTTTCTATGGTTTAGACAATGGCAGTGTAAAACAATAATATGTTACTCGATATCAAAATAAATTAATTTTCTGAGAACTAGATTAAAATGTTGCATGTTTTAATATGAGAGTTGAAATGAGTATTTAAAAATACACTTCCTGAAAAAAATTCCCTGACAAGAAATAGATAAATGTTTAAATTACTAAACTCACATGTTTAATTATTTAGCTTCCCCAAACATCATATTGTACCTCAAATAAAATTATCTCATGCCAATACAAAATTAATTTCAAATAAATTTTAACTACTATTTTTCTTCAAACAATTGTTTTTAAAATGTTTTTCAGAAGTTATTTTTCCTTACCTTTAAAAACCTGTCCTGACATATCTAGAATGGCTTCGTTATTGACTGACTGCAGAATTTTAGGACAGACTGGACCATACATGAGTACAGAGCAGTGTTCTTTGTAAGTCACAGAACAGGCAGTGTCAGGTGTGTGCTGCTTGGGATGAGCAGGAGGACAGACAGTTAAGGTATGCAATTGACTCCAGAACGTATCTCCCAATGCTTTCCAGTGACCTTAAAAATGGGGGCTGCATCTGAGATGTTCTGTCAGCAGTTGAAGCACCAGGATAAGCATCTGGGGCAGCCCAGCCTCTCACTTCTGCTTTCCTGGGAGGTTTTTGTTATGACTGGTGTCACAGGGGTAGGTAAATAATTACCCTGCTGACAGTAGTAAGTGGCAAAATCTTCAGGCTGCAGGCTGCTGATGCTGAGAGTGAACTCTGTGCCAGATCCACTTCCATTGAACCTCCATGGGACCCCAGATTGCCAAGTAGGTGCAAAATAGATCAGGAGCTTTGGAGCTTTCCCTGCTCTCTGCTGCTACTAATGTAAATAATTGCTAATGACCTGACTGGCTTTGCAGGTGATGGTGACTCTCTCTCTCAGAGATGCAGACAGGGATGGTGACTGAGTCAACTGGACATCACAATGGACACCTGACATTGGAAAAATTAAAACAATTAGTCATGTAATTAATGATATTATCCAAGTACTTCCACGAAGCCTCAAGCTGCTCTGTTAATATGAGATGAGTATTCCCTGGCATTGTTCTTCCTTACGTGGGAGCCAGAGCAGCAGGAGCCCCAGCAGCTGAGCAGCGGCCTTCATTTGCAAGCTGTTTGTTGAGTGGAACCTTCTCCTGCATAGGGTGTGAGCAGCCTCTGAAGAAGTTCTCAGGGCAGTGGGCTGTGCTCAAGGCACATGAAAATCAGCAGGGTTGGAAAGATTTAAAAGATATGGCTATATACATAGCTTTGTGATCTTCATGAATTTCTGAACTAGCAGTCTCCAAATCTCTCAGGTAACATTCCTGTCTCCTATCAATAGCCCAAAAAACTCCCCTTAAAGATAAGATGTTCCCTAAACCAAGAGCTCACATCTACTTCAGTCTCTTCTGCTTCATAAACCTTCATGTTCTTATGCTATCGTCTCTTCCAGTTCAGAATAACATTTTTTTAGTAACTGGGCTAGAACTTGTGGTCCCAGCAGGTTCAGATTTGATGAAAGGAAACAAAATAAAGGGTGAGCAAGGCAATGAAACCACAATGAATGGAGAAGACATCCTTAGCATGGGAAGCAAGGAAAGCCTGCCACAGACAGTGAAGGCAGAGCACAGTGAGGAAGGCTCCCACATCAGGACCAGCATGTGGGGACACTGTCCACCCTAGTGCAGGATGTCACTCTGGGGAGCCACTAGCAGGGCATTGCCATGACAGTGAATCGACTTCTCATCATTGTGAGTCCCAGCTGCTGCAGGTACAAAAAATAACACTGCTCTTCACAGTCAGAAGCTCACACACAGTGAAAGTCCCTGCCAAAGTCAGAGTTCTCTTCATCATCCTTCACTAAATGAACTGCACGTGGATCTGGATTTGAGAGATTCACCAACTACGACCCTTGTTATGATGTATCTGTGGCCTGAAATATTACACTTCTGAAGCCAAAGGAAGCTATGTTGAAACTGTAAAACTCATGCCTTTCTATTTACCTGCATTTAATTAGAGGAACTTTGAAGGTGGACCTGTCTTTTGATACACATCCACTCCTGGTACACACAACGTCCCCCCACACCTGGGTTTCAGACCAAGACATTTTAGGAATGGCTACGATTCAGGAGGAAAGAAGAGTGGATATGAGAGTGGAGATCAACCACTTCCCAATTTGTGTAATAAGACTGTTATGCCCTGAGCCTCAGGTAGGAATCATGAACATAAAGATCTCTTGTGTAGACGATACTAAAGCTACTAGCACATGTGTTTAATATATTATTTACCATACCTAAGATACAGAACCAACCCAGATGCTCCTCAGTAGATGAATGGATCAAGAAAATGTGGTATATACACAAAATGGAATTCTATGCCTCCATCAGAAAGAATGACATTGCCCCATTTGTTAGGAAATGTTAAGACTTGGAAAAAATTATATTAAGTGAAGTAAGCCAAGCCCAAAGAAACATAGGTCCCATGGTTTCCCTTATTTGCAATATCTAGTATATGTATTAGTCAAGCAGAAAAGGTCAGATAAGTTGATGTTAGGGAAATGAACCCTAAGATATGTATTCAAATGTTTTTTTTTTCTTTCATGTGATTGTTTCTAACACATTCATAAGATTATTTTTTGTTGCTTTGTATGTCCCTCCCCCTCAGTTTAACCACTGTTTTCACTGTATTTGATGTCGGTATAATTTGTGGAGGGGAAGGGGAAAAACAAGTCGTTTAAGTAAGGATACAGGTAGACCCGATGCAGCAATGAGAAGTACAAGTTGTCATGTCGAAAACGAACTTTACAACTTTGGTGGGGGAGGGGGAGGCTGGGAAAGGGATGGGAAGGGTAAACAAAGGAGGAGGCTACAATGGTTGATAAGAAATATACTCATTATCTTGCCTATGTAATTGTAACCCCTCTGTACAGTATGTTCACAATTAAAAAATAAAGATTGTGGAATACTAAAAAAAAAGAAAAAGAAAAAGAAAATCAGGTTCTACCTAGAACCCACCTTGGGTTTTTCCTGCTCCTTCAAGTTGTGCTCATTGGATGGCTGGTCTTCAACAATGCATGTCTTGAAGGACAGTGTGATCTGCTCTTTACTTTGGCTTAAGTTCTCTGGCTCTGAATGTCCTCCCTGTCTGTCTTCTAGTTCCTCAATAAAAATTAAACTGTCCTTTTCCATCTGCAACATGTGTCTCAAGCAAGCATTTTCATCTGTGCCACTCTATTCCATATCTCTGTAGATTCAATTTAAATCGCACTTCCATAAACACAATCCAACTGCTATCCTGTGAGCCTGAGGTCAAACAATGTGCCCTGGTGGCCCCGCCCTTCCATGCTTTATGGAGTGTGGCAGCTGTTAAGTTCCTTAACTCTGCTTCAGCATCCTCATTTGTGTAACTGTTACAGTTACACAGTGTTGAATACTTTTCTGTATCTTTCTCTGGGATTTTACCTTCTTCCATCCATGGGCCAATTTTTCCCTTGGCTATTTTCACTCATAGGATCATATATCTCATAATCCTAAGTATTTTCTTCAATGGCAACAAACCCCTGAAGTACATCTCCAACTTCTCAACACATTTCCTCCTACATCCACTGTTAAAACATTGCCTATAAAAGAGAGATGCCCTACGTTTGCCATTTTAACTTGCTGTTAATTCACCTTTTTGTATACCTTTTCCCTAATAATTAACTCATGATATTTAGTGAAAACTTCAATACCTACCATAGAAACTCTTTCAGAGTGAGTTTTTCCCTCAAGTTATTCCTTATGATTAGTTGGATATATTTCCAGGTAAAGTTATAATCAGTAGGACAATATTTTGTAAAATAGAAGAGTTCACCTATACATTGTTTAAAATATTTGTTAAATCTTAAGAAGATACATGAATGACATAACATATAATAACAAAACAATGTGACAATAATACTTATTAGACAATATATTGGAAATGAACTTTACAACTTGGGCTGGGGGAGTAGTTGGCAAGGTAGACATTGGAGATAGTGAGGGAGAGGGGAACACTATTCAAAAAGAAATCTATTCATTACCTTACATTTGTAATTGTAACCCCTCTACATATCAACTTTACAAAAAATGTGAAAACAATAAAATAGGGAAAATCAGAAAAATCATAGACTAATATCTAATAATACATCATATATACAAAATAACACATAATATATTTTATATAATTTATATTTAATTATTACATACTGTATCTCATATATTAGGTATATATACATAAATATGATATATAAATTGCATGCATATGTTCACTTGTCAATCTGAGAATCAGAGGGCTTTTGACTTAAGGAAGATCTGCTTTATCTTGAGGTTTCTCCATTCTTATTTTTATAAATAAAAGACGTCAGTGTTGTTCCTCTGACTGTCAAAGATTCCTTGATTCTTGAGATTAAAACAGAGAAGATTCAGTGAACTAGGAACACTGCTGTGATTCTTGGTGGGAACTGGTCTGGAGGACAGAGGGACTAAGCTCAAAAAACATCTCACCTTCAGTGTACCTTGCAGGAGAGCACAGGATGGCTGGATACCCAGTGCCAACAGTGTTGTTTGTATTCAGTGTTTCTCTTGATAATTTCAGCTTGATTGCTAAGTCGAACTAGCATTTAGAAAATAGAAATAAACTAAATTTATCCTCCTTTCACCTCCCCTTTCTCTCCTTCCATTCATCTCCATCTCCTACTTTGCTTCTCTCTCTCTCTCTCTCTCTCTCTCTCTCTCTCTCTCTCTTTCTCTCTCTCTCTCATTTCTTATTTTTCTCAGGCAATGTATGTTGATCAAGTCGAATATGTTCCACAAGTAGAAATCTCTTTTAAAATTAGATAACTGATCTCTGCATTTCATCATTCTGATTGAGTTAAAGAGAAAAACTATAACTGTCTACATTTATGTGAAACAATATTTCTAATAGCATCAACAGCTATCCATTACATATCAGCACGTCAGGAATAATGAAAAATACCTGTTTTAATAAATAGGCAAACTCTGCAACAAACTTTGTACTCATTGATATAGTTATTTAGCAATTTACCACTCAAGCTGCATTAAACTATGAAAAGTTCACTATTACCTTCTATACCTAAAATTGTACTGAGGTTCTCCAAATGCAATAAGAAAAGCTAAAACTGATTGGATAAAAAGCACAAAAGACCTGAAGCAGAAAAAGGAAGTGGCAAACTGTCTTTACTTGCTAATGAAATTCGTGCATGAAGTATTGAAAAATCTCAAAATAAAAGTTTTGAAATAACTTTGAAGTGTCTTTGTGCACATTGTGAATATCTATTCAAGAATAAAATAACCTGGATAAAGTCAGAGTATTTCCATGTTTATAGTCTGGAATGTAATATTAATATTTCAACACCTAGCACAGTGCCAGTATCGCACATCTATAATTACACTTACTCTAAAGATTGAGGTATAGAAGCTCGCTGGTCCAGGTTAGCCTGGGCAGGATTCCTGTCCTATGATTCAAGGACAGCTCTGGCAAGAGGAAGCTTGAAGAAAGCAGCTGGGGCAGCCCAGGCTCACACTTCTGCTTCCTGGAGGTTTATGTTATGGCTTGTATCACTGTGGGTGGGTAATTATAATACTGTTGACAGTAATAAGTGGCAATGTCTTCAGGCTGCAGGCTACTGATGGTGAGAGTGTACTCTGTCCCAGATCCACTGCCACTAAATCTGGAGGGGATCCCAGATTGTAAATACTTTGCACCAGAGATCAGGAGCTTTGGAGCTCCCCCTGGTTTCTGCTGGTACCAGTTTAAGGCATTGCTAATGCCCTGACTGGCCCGGCAAGTGATGGAAACTCTGTCTCCAGGAGATGCAGTCAAAGTGGATGGAGACTGAGTCATCTGGATGTCACATCTGGTATCTGCCATTGGAAAAGTAATAAGTATACATAGAATCAAGCATGTTATAAGAAAGCTTCAAAAACAGCCAAGCATCACTGACTACAGCAGACTGAGGAGATCCTCAACATAGTCTTTCCTTACCTGTAATCCAGAGTAGCAGGAGCCCCAGGAACTGAGCAGGGCCCTTCATGTCCATGCTGTATGCTGACTAGGACTGACTCCTGCACAGGATGTGATCAGCTTTCAAGAACTGCTCAGGGTAGTGGGCTGTGCTCTGAGCACATGCAAATCAGTAGGGGTTGGAAGGGGCCAGCACAGCTACACCAACATGCCATATTTCAGTATCTCAGCCCAGACATTATGCCCCAGATACAAAAAACAATACCAGGATAGCACTGTTGTGCATGAAGAGAATATGTTTCTCTCTGGGATTCAGGGGACAGAATGCCTCTCTGGTTAAATACAATGAACTTTAATTTATACATGGGTCATGGCATGCTTTTCATGATATCATTTTATCTAAGTCAATTTTTCAAGCAAATATTGTTCCAAAATGTAGAATTAATGACTTAGATCAGATTTTCTAAGTCTTTGGTTTCCTTGAACCCATTTGTTAATCATAGACACAATTTTTCAATTACTCAACCTACAGGGGTATGTAGTTTGATAGAGAGAATGATAGTTAAATAATTAGATGATAGACAAGTATCAGTTAAGACTTAATGAAAGATAATGAAAAGTCTGAAATTAAACTATGTGCAGTATTAGGCTATGGTGTACAATATATAGGCTAGCCTTTGGGTTTTGCTATCAACTACAGGTCTCTGTTTCTGAATATACTTTCCCACCACCATCATCCACTAGACTTAACATCAGACATTGGCTCTCTGTATACTAAAAGGATCTGGCTACAGGCACAGCTTTATTATCTTTGTACATTTCTGAGCTGCAAGTCTCCTAAAATGTTGATGACATTCATGCATTATTGTTCGTAATCCAAGTTATTCCTCCTCACAACATGAGCTATTCTCTAAACCAAGGCTGAGCTAAACTTCAATTTACTCTGCCTCTTAAAAATGTAAATTCCCACAGTACCTCCCATTTAATGGAATTTGTAATTAATGAAGTTTTCAGTGATTGAACTTAGAGTTTATGACATAAACAAGCTCTGAAAGGATGACATGTAGCATAGTGAAGTGTGAAGTGGGACACCGGAGCTGCAAAGCCCAGAGAAGACAAGGGAAAATGCCACAGGTGATAAATCCAGAGTACGATGAGGAAGGCTCCCACCTGGAGTCCAGCATGTGAGGAAGCTGTTCACCCTAGTGCTGGATGTCACAACTGGAAAGTCACGGACAGGACAAGACAATGAATCCACCATCTTATTGTGAGTCCAAGCAGTTGCTCCAGGTGGACAAAGATAGCAATGCTCTCCCAAAGGCCAGTAGCTCACAGACCAGGCATTGCCAAAGTCAGAGTCCATCTGTACCAGGCCCTACATGACAGGTTCCTATAGCAACCCTGCTAACTGAAGTATTTCATACACTATTGGAACAAAGCAGAGTATAGAAATAAATTCTTGTTTTCCTCTTCCCCCTCCACATAATGAGTAGAGCTTTGATGCTGGACCTGGCTTATGGTAAACATGCACTCCTGGTGCAGACAAGGTCTCCTGATTATCATTCCTCTGATGTGGGTTTGAGAGAAGAACAATTAGAGGAATAGCTCTCAGTTGCAGGTAGAAGAAAAGTGGATATGAGAATGGAGTAAGAATCACCCTACTAACAAGACAGTCAGTCCTGGGCTAGGAATGTGGCTTAGTGGTAGAGTGCTTGCCTAGTATGCATGAAGCCCTCAGTTCAATTCCTCAGTACCACATACACAGAAAAAGCCAGAAGTGGTGCTGTGACTCAAGTGGTAGAGTACTAACCTTGAGCACAGAGAGGCTCAGGGATAGCAACCAGGCCCTGAGTTCAAGTACAGGACTGGCAAAAAAGACAGTCAGTCCGAGAGACCTAAGGTGGAGTAAGCCAGACCCAAGGAAATACAAGTCCCATGGTTTCCCTCATTTACAATAACTAGTGTATGTATAGGACAATTTTATCAGATGAGCAGAAAAAGCTCAAAAGCTATGTACATATGACCATATAACATGATGCTAAGTGAAATGAACCCCAAGATATGGGCACAAGAGGTCTTTCTTTATTGTTGTTATTTTTAATGTACTATGTGATTATTTTGTTTCCTTTGTCTGTTCTTCCCCCTATGTTGTTACTGTACTTGATTTTGATGCCCTGCATCTTGTATATACATTTGTCTAATTTGGGGAAGGAAAGAGGATTAACAAAATTGTGAAACAAAGACATAGGATTACACATTGAAACATATCCACAAGAGAGTATATTGGAAATGAACTTTATAACTTCAGGGAAGGCGGCGGGGGGGGGGGGGGGGGGAGGGGAAGGGGAGGGGGAAGGGATGAGGGTGGTGGGGGAGGAAAGGGATGGAAGGAGAACAACTAGGGAAAGGGTGTCAATGCTCCACAGGAAATGTACTCACTGCTTTCCTCATGTAAATGTCACCCCTCAGTACAGCATTTTTACAATAAAATAGAATTTACCAAAAACAATAGAATTGGATCTAATAAACTAATCAGAGTGATCATGGCTGAAAAAATGGACACAGGAAAAACCGCATTTCTTACAGTCAGTGAGCTCATAACATTACCAGCAGAGATGTTTACACCTAAATATGTGAATATAAAACTGCACGGAATTATTTTAAAATCTAATTAGTAAACCTATATTATTTCTTCATGATAATTGGGCACTTAATCTCATATTTCTTTTCATTTCTCTGTGTACAATGGGACAGAATGACTAATTTTCTTTTTTTTTTTCTTTTTTTTGGGGGGTCCGTTCATGGGGCCTGAACTCTGGGCCTGGGTGCTGTCCCTCAGCTCTTCAGCTCAAGGCTAATGCTCTACCATGTGAGCCACAGCGACACTTCCGGCTTTTTACTTCATG